ATGAGACTTATCTTTGGGGAATGAATATTCCTAACTTCGAGTAGACCACTTTTACTTTGAGTAAATATTTTAACATTTCCAATTCTTTAATCTCCTCTCTTAGAGTTACTTTTTCCTCCTCATTGTTTCTTGTAGCAGTTATGCCATCTATGCATGATAGGAAAACAATGACTCTCCCTAACTTTGAGTTCTTAATGAGTCGGGTATGATCTCCTTGACTCTGCCTGTACCCCATGGATAACATTACCTTTATAAATCTACTAAACGATGCTCGAGAAACTACATAAGCCTATGTTTTATTTTTTAGAAAAAAGGGACCTATTTAAGCCCATACTATCCCTTTTCAATTTGCGTACTTTGTTTGTATTTACTCCCTTAGTAAACTTGGAAAAAATCTCCATGTAAATTTCTTCTTTTAATTTTTATGCAGGAAGGTATTCTTGACATCAAATTGCTGTAATCGCCAATTGAAGTTAGTAGCTAAGAACAGTAGGATATGTACTGTATTCATATTTGCAATAAGTGCAAATGTCTCTTGGTTGTCAATCCCGTATGTCTGAGTATATTCTTTGGTCACCAATCTTGTCTTCTGTCTCTCTATCGTTCCATTAGGCTTGTATTTGACAATGAATACCTGTTTGCGACCCACGGGTCTTTTCTCTTTGGGCAAGTATACTACTTCCCATGTCTGATTTTTCACGGGCCTGTATTTCAATATTTATATAATTTTTTCACATTTTATATTTTAAAAAATATTTGTCATTTTTCCTTTTCTCACTGGTTAAAATCTCATATAATGTTTTGAGAATATATATTGTATTCAGGCTCATAAGAAATCTTTTGTTATTTGGAGAACATTTTTCAAAGGATACAAAATTTGAGATATGATAGAAGGATGCTTCATTCATTGTCTCATCCTCTTTTTAAGTGTAATAGGTATATCCCTGTAAGAATAAATAGAGTTCTCAGAGCTTATCTCATTTACAATACTCGACGTAGATTCTTGAATTTGTTTTGGATTTAATTCTAGGTTCTTTGTTCTTAAATACACTTGGGATAATCGTGGGTTTGGCTTGGGCTAAGGTTCAGACTCATTTTCTGGAGGTGTTTGTCATATGGTTAGTAGCTCATGAGTCCATAATCCATGAGATAAAGAAAGGTTTCTTTGAGACATTTAAATCATGAGAAATAGGAAATATATCTGCTGTGCTATGAGTCCTATACCTTTAGGTCTTTCGAGTTGCTGAAACTGGGTCCTTAATCGCTCAATTTCTGCCTTGAAACAAGTCTCCATATTCTTCCCCTTCTGGGCCATATGTGCATGTCCTTTCTTGTATTCCTAATCCTTGCTAGAGGTGGTTGGTCTCCATGAAGCTTTCAACACTTTTTTTTGTATGTCTTGGTTTTTTATTGAAGGTATACCCCAAAGATTTTCTCTATTCTCTCTGCTAGCTACTAAGGTCTCACTATGATTAGATTCCTTTTCCAATTTTCGTGGTTTGGAACTTTTAGTTGTCATTCTGGAACCCTCAGTTGTGTGGGATTCAAGTATAAATCTTCTTGTACTTTCCTCTGTACTGCTTAAAGATATTAACTCATTGAGAGATGACTTTTCCTTTCCCAGGATCTAGACTCTCACCTGAATATATGCTCATTGAGCCCTACTATAAGTTGGTATGCTTTATACTTTTCAGCAAATTTCTTCAAGGCTGCTACATTTTGCTGTTCTCCATAATGATACTAGGTACTAATCAAGCTCCTGCCATAACCTTTTTAGAAGGTTTGAATATTTTTTGACTGTCTTGTTGCATTATTTAGCTGTCCACACATCAATGATCAAATTATACATCTAGGCTGCACCTTTTCCTTGG